TTTTTTTTTTTTTTTTTTCACATCGTAGAGTATGTTTGTAAATTAGCCCTTTGTATTTTTTAGAAGGTATTATTTGAACAAAAAGTTGGCCTGATAGAAATCCACTACTGTTCCCCATTCCTAATGGGGAAATTTTTATTTATGCTGCATGATTTTAAATTAATTGTAATTTTACCATACAAATAGAAATAATTATGTCTCTACCTAAAAGACATTATTTATTTATATTAATGCCTAAAGTTACCAAATCCTTTCAACCCTATCTCCTTAATTCACGCTTATCCCCATAATTCACGCAGGTCATTTAATAGAGCTCTCAGGTGGTATATATTGGGTTTATGTTAGTATATATTCAGTATATGTGGCAACTAGAATTATGTAATTTACGCAGTCGGTATATATTGCGTTTATGTTTCTCAGGTAGTATATATTGAGTTTATGTTAGTATATATTCAGTATATGTGCGCAACTGGAATTCTACAATTCACGCAGCCGGTATATATTGCGTTTATGTTAGTATATATTCAGTATATATTGCGATAAAATAAAAAAAAAAAAAAAACATATTATTACAGATTACTTATATTCCTTATACAAAAAAATATTCTAAATATACAAAACATATACTATACATATACTCGATATACACACAACATATACTCAAAATGTAAATAATCCAGATGTAAAATGTCTATAAACTGAAAATATACTGCCAATATACTCAACATATACTGATTGGGGTGTGGTTTTTTTATTAAAAAAAAAAACACTCAAAATCCCAGTACTATTCAACATCCAAAAGTATAAACTGTCCAAAAAAAACTGAAAATAATGCCGACGGAAATTGAGGACGTCGTTGCTGCTTTCTTTTCAATCCGTGAAACCCAAAAAATTTCAACCCATTGCTCACTGGATCCCCACGGCGGTCGTACGGGGTCTGCAGGTTGGCCGAACCGAGGGGATAGGCGCGACAGGCTGAAGGATTATGGAGGCGATGAATGATGAAGGCTGAGATATGGCGATACAAAGCTGGG